TTAATGATGCTCCAGGTAAACATATGTGTTTGCTTCATTTTAATTGTACTAAAAAAATGTCTCTGAAGCTGTGGTTTGTTTTTGTAGATTTATAGTTACATCCAACTGGATCCCAAGATAGTCAAGGCAATTTAATGCATTAAGGAAGTTTACAAAATGCCCAAAAGGTAGATTTATTGTAATTTAGTAAGTACTGTGTCAGAAATGTTTTGGAGCTCCGAAGAAAACATTTTCACCCTCCTAACTGCTCCTGGGTGGCATTTAGCTCATTAGTTGTTAGCGTTAAAGGGGTTGAAGTTGCTTATTAGCACAGACATTCAGCGCCAACGTCTTTCTCTACTCAGCTACACAGTCTAATTAAAATATCAGATAGTGCAGCAGCATGATGTTCCGCTATAGTTAATGATGTTGCAAAGTAACACAATAAAATACAGCCAAGATTTTAGGCCACTATTATAAACTTGAACATGAGGAAATCTCATTCACTTCCAGGCTAATTTCGTCTTAAAATGTTTGCAATCACTCAAATTTAAGATTCCAGATTATGGGACCAAATGTGTGGGTTGTGGCCAACACTGCATGATGTGAAGTAAAAATGTATGACGTTATCAGTCCTGATAATGCCACATTTACATCACTCCTCTCCATTTCTGCTGTGCCTCTCACGCTATGTGAACTTTAGGACCTTGGGAACTATTTCAGAGTCAGAAATGGGCACCTACTGCAGTTAAACTCCAATTAAACAAATATGTTATTGGCACGCAAAGTGTGAATAACCAGCAGGGGTTAGAACCACAGCTGCTTGTAGATATCTCAAATCTGTAAATATGCTGTCTAAAAATGTTTTTTTTTAAAGTTCAAACACTAAATGTAACCTAAAAACACAGAACCACAGAAGCTAACAACAGTTTTTTCTTATCTCCATTATTGATTTAGTAAGTATTATTGACAATACAATAGGCACCAAGAAAAACAGATGACACTCCTAGATTGGCTGATTTACGCTGATTCGCATATCAAGAAACACTGTGGCAAAGTATTTCAGCTTCTCAAGCTACATGTTTTCCCCCAATATTTTAGGAATAGTCTGCCAAAAAAATACTTTGTAAATAATTTTGACTTATGTTTCATAGAAATGTCTGTGAATACTCAACCACAAATAGGGTGGGGTCTACTGTACATTGGCAAACATTATTGCATTTCAAATAGTTTTTTACAACACTGATATTGCTTACACCCGCAGGTTTTTAATAAGTATAATAGTAGAGGCATTGGTTTGGAATTAGTTATTTTTTAATCAGTTTTGACAGACCATTTTTTCAGTATTAACTAGTCAATCATTGATCACGTTGTTTGTGGTGAAACTGTCATTTTATGTCAGCGGCAGTGTCAGATTGATTGTGCGTCATCGGAATGGACAATATATCGGCAGTGTCAAATTTCTGCTGTAAGCATTCGATGTCTGAGAAGTAATTTGCTATTGTTTGGGTCAAACTGTCTCTAAAGGGGCTCATTTTGCCAGTTTGACATTTACTGCTTTACAAATCATAAAATGCCCAAACAATGTTGACCTTCTGTGTTAACTTCCTAGGGACTCAACACAGGGAAAATGAACCTAATGCTTCAATTAATTCATTAACTTTTTTTTTCCATTTGGAGAAACTTTTATTAAAACACATTTTCAGCCAAATATATCTATTGTTTTTAATTCTTCATCACACATGCAGATATGGATTTGATATGAAATCTCTTTCACAACACTGTGCAAAAAAAAAAAAAAAAAAAAGCGTTGAAACAATTTAATTCAAAAACACTTCATTGATCCCCCAAGGAAATTAAATAAATGGGTGAGGATGAGAGCAGTAAGGTATGCCATTGATGTTAGGTTCATTGATGAGTCAATCCTGAAAACAATACGAGTTCAAAACATAATGCTGGGTCTCTGGGTCATTAAAACAGTCTCTGAGGAAACATCAAAGCTGTCTTTCAGATTGAACATATAAGCTTCTTTCCTTGGTTCATCAATGTGTAAAAGAAAACCCCGTTATTCATTGGGCAATAGACAAATTACCAGGTGGAAAAAGACAACATTAGCTAAAAAAAAAAAAAAAACTGAATTTTCATCAATTTAATGAACAGCTTGAGTGCATGGTAATAATGAGCTGTCTTGTGCAAAATAAAAGTATAAAGACAGTCAGGAGGTACAACTTTATCTCTTTCAGTTAAAACAACACAAATGCAACAGATTCAGTATTATATGATTTTCTGAATAAGACGTTAGATGTCAGGCAATACCATATAGCAAGCAGAAGAAAAACAGTTATGCAAAAATGAGAAAAAACTAGCGAGTTCAATTCAGATTCTCCATAACTAGCAGGGTTGTCAAGTGTAAAACTTATTATTCTCAGCAACACAGAGCAAATCTGAAATTCATATGACAGAACAACGCATAGAGATAAAAGCCATGACTTTTTTCCAAGCAAAGAACATGCAGATTTTCCTAAAATTTTCTACTACTGACTCAGAAGATGGCTTTAGTGTTTTGGACATTTTGATGAGTCACTCTGGTCTTGAGACAAATTGCCTTAAGATCAAATGAAACCAGCAATGACTTCACAAAACAGTCAATGTTTCTACCAACTTCCTCAGTCTTGAAATAGAGCTGGTCTTATGACATGAGTAAACATATTACTGTAGTGAAAACAATATATTCTTGTTCCAAAGCAGTAAGATATAGGCATCAGCATCCTTCGCTTGTTCCATGTAGAGCAATTTGTGAGCCAGAAAAGAAAGAAGCTGAGAACAGCTTGGCACAAATCCTGGATAGAGAAGAACGGCCAAGAAGCGCAGTAAAGCTCACAAAGATTTTGTAATGGTGGGCAACACATCATAAATGGGCCATAAATGACTTGTAGTGCTTGGACAAGAAAGTGTCAGATTGCAGCTTTTACCCCTCACTTGCATGACACTCCAAAGGGTCCAATTTTTTATTTTTTTTTTAACTCAATAAATGTCAACTTACATGTGTCAAAAACCAATTAAAATGGAAACTAGTCATTTATTAAATAAGTAGAATTAAATTAGTCTCATAAATTACTTTATTTGTGAGACATAATTAAATAGGCCATAATCGATCAGCAGGTGAGGGTCAAACTTAGCTAGTAAATATAATTTGTCAGTAGAGGCCTCGTTGTGCAGGTTAACCAATCAAATGTCCAGGTCTACATGGTGAAATGGTGATATTTACATTTATATATGCAGTAACTCCAGAAGTATTCAAACCCTGACAGAATTTATTTTTTTTAAATAAATGTATTTCTGTTAGGAAAAGGGATTAGGTTCTCTTTATGGAATTAAAGACTTAGAACTGCCTTATTGCTGAATTGTACTACATAAATAAACTCAACTTTACTCTCAGAGGATAATAAATATGGATGCAATATTTATCAGCATTAACACCAGTGTCATCTTTTTAACATAATGGTATCAGTTCTATAAGTAAAACTTACAGAACACTGTTACTGGCTGATATTAATAACAGTGTTTATTTTCATCATGGTGTTTGTGTCTCAGGATGGTAAGGGGTTTGCCTATGTGGTATTTGTTTAACGATAGTGTTGTAGCCCAGGACTGGGGTGTGTTTAACTGGCGCAGAAAAGCTAAGTCACCACTGTGGTCATTTTTTAGTGTTGAAAGGTAATTAGACATTTAATATTGGTTTTAGATCAATATCAGACCAAATGTTCATATCTGTGCATCTTTAATAATGAAACCATATAAACATAGGTATCAATTTTGAAAAAAGAAAAAGGTATACTGAAAATTGCTTATAGATTTCATAATAGTGAGTAAAAGAAATTGTATTGTATTCTGATAACTGCTGGAATATTTTGACAATTTGTCCTTGATAATAAGATCAAAGTCTTTGAGATTGTAAGGTGTCCTTGCCATCATCCTAATCTTAAGCTCCTCTCACAAGTTTTCTATTTGTCTTATGTCAGCAATTCCAAAATGTACAAGTTAGTTTCATTTTGAAAAAAAAACTTGTACTTTCTCCCTAAATCTGCCTGCTTTATGAATCATTTTGAACTTAATTATATGACATTGACGTTCATTGTTTTTACTTTTCTTAAAGAAGTGTTTTAATTTTGTTATTTATGTATTTAGTCAATTATTGTCGTGTCGTGATAATTATTCTCACTCAGTTTAATCTGAACACCAAGAGAAATAACTATTTATGACTTTTTTTTAATGTTGGGACTACTAGTACTGGATATTTGTCTGACACACTGGAACAGCAGGAGTGGCACACGCTGGGTCCATGTCTCCAGGCCTACACCTAGAATTCAACATCAACCCTGGTCCTGAAGGCACAATGCCCTCCATGTTAAACATGCAGGGAAATGTGTCTTGAAGAGCAGGGATGGAGAAAAATTACAATTTACAACATGCAATTTACTTTGTTTCATATCAATACACATGTGCATTGCATTAACACTTCTGCTAGTGTCAATGCAAAATTAAGTTTTGCTTTTTGGCCTCCAGTGCCAACTTTGCAGTTTATTGACAGACTGGTTACTGTTTATGTATGAAACAAACCCTTCTGCTTTAAAGGTGAAGGTTCAGCACTAAAATTAGTGCAAGTTCAACAACAACCGCCTGATGTTATCACGTTTACATCAGTATCTCATTGCAAGCTGAAGGCTTAATCTTCTGATTTGTTGCAGCCTTTATGTATAAATTTAATTTAAACATTAGCACAAATAAAAAACATTTGTTGAACAAAATTTCCAGCCGACGGAAACCACGGAGTGGTTTTACTAACAATGGGTAACATTTGCAACCTGCTGTGTAACAATACATAAATTAAAGCATGTGACTTCGCTCATGTGGGAGCAGTATAAATACTGGCGCACTGCCTGCGAATAACCTGTGGCCTCCCATCAAATCTCAGTTTGTCATGGAGCTGGCACCTTTAACCTGAGCTGTTAATTTCTTACCTTGAGCGATTGCTTTAGACTCGAAAATCTGAAGCTCCTGCAGTAAACACGTCCTCTCATTCGGGTGTAGGCGATAAATGAACTCTTTGGCCCTTTTGGGAGAGTTGAGCGGCTCCCTGGGCTCGTTTCTCCCATGTGTTCCCATCCAGCAGCACGGCGAGTGTCGCGTTGTCCCCGGGAGTCTCAGCGCCACCGCCGCCGCTGCTGGAGAATGCCTCAGTCCTGACGGTAACTTCTGTACAGTCGACCAGAGAGCTTTCCGCAGGCATACCTTCAGCATTGTCCCGGTATACATAACTAAGTCAGATTATAAGATGTAAAACCTAAATTATTTGTGGGTTCTTCGAACGGCGAGGTACGAAGACGACTCTCCGCTCCACCAACGGCTGGCACTGGGTCTGAAAGTTACGTGTTGGTCGGTCCTACTAGCCACATTCGACGTCAACTAAAGAATGAATTGACGACTTTTAAAATCTGTAAATCCCGAGCAACACATCAAGAAAACGGACATAGTCTGTTTTCGCGCTGTCCACTCCCCAAACCTCATGATCTCCTAAAACTGGGTGGCCAGGAGTTGAACACATGAAGTTCAAGCCGCAACCGAACTGGTACTACAGGAGAGTTAAGTCAGGAGGAAAACCGGAAGCTGTTGATTCAGAGTTTAGAAGTAAAGCTTACTGTTTCCGGTCATAATTTTCATAATAAACTTAAGCATTATTTCGCAAGATAAATAATTTTTTTACCCTACTTATATTTTTACACAGTCAGATATTTGAGTGTATTGCTGTTTTATTCATTTTCTGAAAAACGAAGAACAAATTATTTGTTTCTGTCAATGAAGAATTTCATCCAAAGTTTAACAATCTGCAAAGAGTTCATGTTTTGAAATTTCATATGAAGTCTATTAAGGAGTTATGGTAATACTGAAACGTTAGCAGTGTGGTGGAACAGCACCCTATGTTGTGTAATTGAATCAACATATTTATACATTACATTTTGCAGTGAGTTACTATTTATTTAATAATGGAATGTTAAACAAATTGGAAAAACCACAGTAAAAATTTGCAATAAAGACAGTGCTCAAAATGCAATATCAAAGACAATTTTATTTACATATTTCTTTTTAAAACAAAAGGCAAAATTAACAGCTTTTACCTTTCAAAAAGCTTTAAGATTAAACTAACAATCAAAATCCTTCACAGCTCGAGCATATTAAAAAGCACAGCTTTCCAATCATATTCCCTAAGACTTGATCAGGTTCCTTGTAGGTCATCCTCAACTACCAGTATGTATGTGTTATGATCATGAGCTTGTAGAGAAACCCTCATAGAATTCAAGATTATTAAATCTTTACCACAATACTCTTATTTATGCTTAAATATATTTAAATCAAGAAATTCAATGTTAAGATTTCTCGGTACTGAGGTTGACTATATTCTAGTTTCCAGGCAGAAAAAATAAAGACTTTTCAGTCAACTAGCCTTAGTCATGTACCAGGCATTAACATTTTTGAACAGTAAGAAGTGTTGCTCAAAATTGCAATGTATATCATAGTGTATATGACAAAATATTTGCAAAAATCAGAAAACTGGTAGTTTTAGAAGCCTTCCATTTTATTGAAGAAACTCCTGCAGTAGAACTCGAGACAAGCCTACCCCTTCAGCCATATTGCACAAGGGATATATTGAAAAGTAATGCTATTAAGAAACAAGACTGCATGTTTAATGACTGATATAACCATCTGGAAAATGACGTCCAACCAGCAGAAAAATATTTCACCTGATATTTTAAAAATACTTTTTCCCTTTCAAGTAATGTTTATAGAACAGTTGGCAATTTTACCATCGTCTGATTTTTAATTGCAACTGATTTTCTTTTTCTAGAACCAGTAGTCTTACTATAAGTAAGTTGTTCTGCACCTGAAACAGGCATTTAACCTAATTTAATAACTTGTGCAGAAAAATTCAAATATTAATAGAAACAAATCACCTGAAACCTTTAATATTACAGAGAACATGTGCACAGGTTTCGCCATATGTACGACAACGTACACAGTAAGGAAGGTCACAGAAGAGACCAGTAGTAAGTAATGAGAGGTATATCAGGGACTACAGTAGCAAGTTAATCTTTAATCAGACGAACCTCGGTTTTTCCCACCAGCAAACACTGGCCTCTTTCACAAGGATTTTGCTTTAACGACAAAAATACTGAGTTCACAACAAACCTGAGCCAATCAAAATCTACAAATTGTTGAATGATAGGAGATCAAAGCTGGTTTGAGATGAGTTTCTGAAGCTTTCACAAAAACTAACCACAAGAAACTCATCAAATCAATTACTTATGATTGAAAAGATTATTTTAGAAAAACTAAAAAAGCAGGTTTGTCAAAGGTGTAAGGTGACAAATGAGAAAATGAAAAAAAGGAGAATGGATCCAAAACTAAACAAATCAGAGAATTCAATCAAAAAAAATGTAGTATTTAAATTAGCCAGCATTTTTTATAAATTACAAGGGAGCATGACTATTTGAAGTCACCGTCTAAGCACATTAAATGTCAGCACATAACCCAGAGGCATGCTGATAACACCACTTCCCTGTAGGTCTTCAAAGACGAACCTTAATAGAAACTGATTTTTGTATAACCGCAATGAGAACTTGAATTTTTTTTAAAAATGGATTTCTGATGACTTTTCAATGAAAATTAAAAAAAAAGAGCAACATGAGTTTTTGGTCTACATCTTGCCCACACATCCACTGGACACACACACACAGACTGAGAGCAGCTTTTACTCTTTCCACAAGCCCTTATAGAGTAAAACTCAAAAAAAAAAACTAAGGAGAAACAGAGAGACTGAGATCCCTGACAATTTTTCGATAACAATTTAAGTGTTCTTTTTAACTTAAATATAATAAAGATATATGTATATTATTTTCTATAGATTCTCTCTCGTCAGTCTTCTGTAGAGTCTGTGTCGTCATTGATATACTCTTCTTCTATCGGTGTGCTGCCATTCTGAGTCCCCCACTCGTCTTCGTCGTACTCTATGCTGTCGTTGTCCTCTACCAAATCGTCGAGCCCCGCTGGACCTCCAGCGGCATGCGCCCCGGCTGCCGCACCGTTTGGCAGCAGCTCAGCTACCGGCTGTTCGTGCGGGTTTTCTCCTGGAACCAGCGGGCCTGCTGCAACGGCGTCCTGCGGTGCTGCATAGCCCCCATTGTTGTTAGAGAAAGCAGCTCTGTCTCGGCCATCGTCCTCGACATAAACTCTCTGGTGGCACATGGGGCATGTGTCCTGGATGTAAAGCCACTTCCTCAAGCAGAGTGCGTGGAAGTGATGGTGACATGGCGTGAGACGCGCCGAGCTGGCAAACTCCTGGTAACAGATGGCACACACGTCCTCAATCTCCCTTAGCTGGTCGCCTCGGACTTCCGGCAGGGAGTTGATCTTCTTCACGGCAGTGCGTCGGTTGATGAAGGTCTTCCAGCCGTTCTTGGCCTGAAGGTAGATGTTGAAGTAGGCATGCAGACACATCATGCAGGCACGGATCTTGCTGCCCGACTCAAACATCATGGTGTAGGCGCCGTTTCCAAACATGATGACACCGAACAGGAACTCAATGATGTTGCCGGTGGAACGTACATAATAGACATAGTCATCTAGCTTCTCCCAAAGGACATTGGAGAATCCGTCAACCATGAAAAGACCGTAGACCGTTAATGATACCACAACCTGAAGCAAACAGAGATAAGAACGTGAAACAGTTCAACCATTTTAAACAGGAACATAATTAATGCTAAAAGACTAAACCTTTTGGCACTCACCTTGAGACAGAGCTCAACACAAAAGGCCGTGACAGCAAAGAGCCAGGTGTTGAGGGCGTAGTGATGCCAGAGGGCAAAGCTGAGTGCTACAGGGAGTACAAAGAGTGCCACCGACACCAGCAGAACGGGGAAGTGGCGGCGAAAGGAAGAAACGTGGGATGCGCTGAGGGACATCAGGACGGGGTCGGTCATGCCGTGAATAAAGTGCAGGATGGCCGTAAGTAGAAGGCACATATTTCGGCTCAAGCGGACCTTGGTGGAAAAGTGATTTTGTCACCAACACATCGTTTCAGACAAAAACTCAAGTGCCACTATCTTCCTCATGAGCTTTTATTCCATTTTGAGACAGCTAAACAGTTTTCATCTTACAGTGGAAAAGAAAAGTTTGAAGGCCAATTGTAATGTCTATTGTTTTAAGTTTTGAAACCTTCAGACACTCGGGTGAGAGAAATCTTCTGTTTTCATGGACTGGTTTTACTGCTCATGACCAGCTGAAAACAAAATTATGTTTTGTTTTAGGGATTTTAGGTTCTTTAAATCCTGATAAAATGTGAAAAAGTTCTACAGGTACGAAACCTTTTACAAAGCAATCGATAAGACATTAAAATGAATGAGACATGGAGATGTTCGAGTGGAGTTGTCAAGTTGTTGAAATAACTGCCATTTACTCAAATGGTTCAAAAAGGAAAAGGGGTGGACATCCAGCAAAGGTTGAGTAAACCATTTATTTAGTTCGAGGTGAACAGCCTCTCAAAAAAGTCTGTCTTTTTACATCTACTCCACCCTGTACCCTTTGTCCGGGATTTTAATTAAACCGATGTATAGGAGTGTGTTTGCAATGTAAACCCTTTAAATTGAATCTTGAGATTGATTTTTTAATCTGTGATTACTCTTATAAGAACATTAGAAGACAGAAATCTTCATCCACACATCTCAAAAATGCTATGAATATATAAAAAGAAACCTAACAGATAAAATTGAAAGCAAAACTTGGTATAAATGTCCTATTTTAGCAGAAATACAGTACTCTTGAATCCTGTGTGACATACCAAACGGTCCTCTGGATTCAGGCTGCTGAGGCCAGTCTGTAGAGCCAGAATAAAGAACAGAACAGGAGCCACGAAGCCTAAGCGCTTGTCCTCTTCCTCAGTCGAACCTGGACATTTCAAAGAAGATAACGCTAAAACCCAAGAACCATTTTACAAAGTTTTGTACCCATGCTTCTATAAAACAAACAAAGCTAATACCTATGAAAGCTAGGATGCTGAGGCCGAGGTAGTGTGCCATTGAGGAAATGACAGCGCTCATGCCCAACACAGTCAAAGTGGAATCGCATCCAGAGATGATCAGGTTGCTCGTCAGATCCCAGAACACATCCCAGCTGAAGAGGTAACCCTAAAAACATCCAAAAATGGTAATGAGACAATTCCCCAAAAACTGCACAGCAGATTTAGAATTTAAAAAATTAAGAATTTAAAACACCTGCACAACTTAGGAAACTATTATTATTTTTGATTTTTGCTTAAAATATTTCAAGTACTAAGGAAAAGGCTTCTTACTTGTGCATCAGAGCTCCCCTCTGAAGCTCCACCTACTGCATCTCCACTCTCCTTCCTCACTGCTCGCACAACATAGACCAGTATGAGTGCCTGGGCGGTGACCCGGCTCAGCCAGAACATTCGCAGGACGTCGGGAAACCGGATTCTTTTCCACGTGTCTTCCAGCAGCAGCTGAAGTCCATAAATCCTGTACATGTGCCGCACTAGCAAGTAGACGTACCGACACGAGTAGTAGAACCACTTTA